GTGGAGTCCCGTGGGCGTTGGGGTGAGGGTGCGGAGCCTCCACGTTGTTTACGGAACTCGGAGGAGCATCACGCGCAGAGGAGTGGGTGCAAGAGAAGGAAACGACGCCACGAGCGTATGCGTCCCCGTGGCGACGAAGAGGAGATGCGTGCCTTCTCCTTCTCCCTCTCGTTCAGCTTCAGTTTCGGCGGCTTGGACCGGAGATGCGGCTTGTCGAACAGGCGAAGACGAGCCCAATACTCGCATTATCAAACTCCCCACCCGTCCTTGTCCTCTCCGCCTACCCTTCTTCTTCGGTGGGAGCCAGCGCGAGGCAAGCTCTCCAAATATGCCAAACTGACCCGCTCGTCGTCGTCCGCTTGAGACTGGGAAAAGCGTGGGACACGCGGGCTTCGCTCTATCGCCGTAGGCGGAAGAATCACCCGCGCTGCCCTCGTCCCTCTCCCAGCGCTACCACAGTCCTAGCATAACCATCTGAAGGGGCAGGAAGATTACGAGCGTGCGGCGCGTCTTCGGCTCGGTACCTGCTGCCTTTGTGTGCTGGGGCAAAGGGGAAGGGGAGAGGAGCTCGATGAAGGCGACTGTCGCGTTTGCCCGCGCCGGCAGCGACGTCTCTGAGTTCGTTGATACCCGTGCACACTGCATCGTCGACCTCCTGCGCATGCATTCCGCCGCTGTCCACCATCTCGCTGCCCGCCATCTTGTTGTCCACCGCATTCGCGAGATTAATGCTCGCCCGAACTCACCACAAACCTCACCCACTCGGCGCCACCAGCGGCAGGCCCCGCGCGCGATTTCGGCGGGGGAGGAGGGTTGTTTGCGAAGGCGTTCGCAACGCTGTGAAGCTGATACCTGTGGAGGGAGAGAAGGACGGGCGCGAGGTAGAGTGCTGAGCGAGGTAGGCGGGTGGGAGGTCGCGAGGCGATTTGAGGCCCGAGGGAAGGTGAACGCGCTAGTGGGTGAAAGGGGGAAGACGCGTTCACGGTGGCCAAGAAAGCAGACTCGTAACACATTCGGCGACACCATGCCCAACAGGCGCAGCCGACGCAAGCTTAAGGACGTAGAGACACCAAAATATTTACGCGCTTGACGCTGTCGTTGACGCGCTCGAGGAGATCAGGGAGGTGGGTGAGATGGGAGAGACAGGTGATAGTGGAGCGAACGGCGGCGACGTAACGTCGTTTCGCCGGATGCGCGGGAGGGAGGAGCTGCAGCTCGTACATATTCGAGGTGGCGATAGAAGCGGGAGGGAGTGCAACCTGAGTAAAGAAAGACGAGTTCAGAACAGGGTTTGGTTACAATAACGAGCCAAAGAGGAAGAAAGACTTACCCATGACAAGCGTCGACGCGGCTAAGCGGGGCGACAGCGAAGTCGAACTTGTACTTGTTGAAGTAGACGCACTGGCAGGGAAATCCCTCAATACCACCATGCTCGCGATCATCTGGGCGACGGATGGGATGGTCTGTGTTTACGGATGCCTGGCGCGTCGTCCTTGCTAACCTTGTCCCTTGCCAGTCCCCGAGGTTGGCGTGAGGAAACAGTATCTGGCCTACGCCTCCCCCACCCAGACATTGCCTAATATGGAAATGATAAGATTTTAATCAAAGATAAGGCCGGAAAAGGAAGCTCCGAGCGCCGGGTAGAGGTTAAAATGGATTGATTTCGTTTGCATTGCATCACCCTTATCGCTGAGCGGTTACGCCGCCAGAGATGGAATCGTGTTACATAATGTAGTTTTTTCGGTTACTCGTTCGAATTTCTTTAAGCGCGTTTCACGCACACTAAAATATTTTTGCCTTGCGCTCCGCGCAGCGGGCCCAGCGGCGAGCGCAGCACCACGCAGTGGGCCCCGCGGCGAGCGCAGGGGGGTCCGCGGGGGTCCCCCCCGCGCTTCCATAGTCAATTTAAACTCAAAATCAACTGAAAAAACCACAAAAAGTACGTTTTAGAAATATTAACATGCCGTCAGGCGAAAGGAGGGGGGTCTGGGGGGAACCCCGTTCCCCCCAGCTTCCACACGGCTCAATAACACACAATAATCTTCCTCAACGCCCACCAACGACCACGACGAGCTCCGCTCTGGCCTCCCCGGGGATAGCTACGCCCTACTCCTTGATGCACTAGCGTCGTCCGGCTTGTTCGTCCCCGCTGCCCGCTTCCGAAGACTCGAATTGGTGTTTCCCAATCCTGGACTCGAGTTAATCCGAGCGCTCATTTCCTTAGTCTTATGCCTCAAACAGAGAATCCCTTAGCACAATTTACCGAGCCCTCCCTCACTCGAGATAATGTCTCTCATGTCAAGCAAACTATTCGCGTATCTTTCCCTCACCTCAGCGCGGCTCCGGTGCCTTCATATCGATTCATTCAGTTAATGCAAGCCTACGATTCCCGGGCGATCTCTATCTGTCTTCCGTCTCTCACCTTTTCTGTGCCAAACCCCTGCCCTGAAGCCTCAAGCCCAGTGAAAAATCCGTGTTGGTGGATACCCCCAGAAAGAAGCAAATAGGGAAAAGCGAGACAAATATATAGAGATCTTGACGCAGTCGGGTGCCATCGCTTAGGTTGTCTTTATTTCTGTTGATATAGATTGGAATGGATTGGATTGTGCCGACGCCCCCTCCAATTCACACAGCTCCAGCCATCCTAACATGAAGCAAGTACGAAAATATGAAATTTGACAAGTCGGTAGCCGAGCGGCTCCGGCGCCCGAGCTGGTATTAAATCGCGTGATGTTGATATTGATGATCTTGTCTCTTTTCCCCCATCATCCTGCTCGTCGACCTCACTCCTGTGCCCGTGTATGCTACCCCAATCTCAATTCCTCGGGCACCCTCTCCCATCCTACTGCAGCATTCAAACCTCCAAGTGCTAGGCCAGTGCAATCGGCATCCAGGCTCCCGATTTGACTCGTCACCCAAGACCTACCTTCAAGAATGACTACCAGACATTCAAAACCTCTCTCTTCCATCCAAGACTCTCCTCAAGCTTCAAGACTTCCTTCAAGAATCCCTTCCAAACACCTCCAGGCATTCCAGACTCCAAACACGGACGTCGACGATCTCAAGCAGCACTGGACTACCATAGAAGACACTTGTGAATCTGGCGGCGTTGTTGTAGATGTATTCAGATGTTTAGTAGATATCTCAATGCATTCATACATTTCTGGCTACATGGATGTGATTTCGAAGCATAAATATATCTATTGATCTCGCTACACAAATGCAGACCGCGTCGGTGCGTCCAAAAATAACCGCATTCCTTCTGTCTCGATTCCAGTCGATTCCCCTTGATACGAATATATAGTTATGCAAGGAAATCTGTGTATGCTAAGTTTTTTGGCAGGAAATATTTTCGTTGCATCTCTATCTTTTTCTCTCGAGTTGCCAACACGGACTTTTCACTGGGCCTCAAGGCTTGAAGCTTGAAGGACTCTCACAGTCGACCCCTGCATCTACTTACCGAAAATAGTGACCCTCCACGACTTCCTTGATTCAATTGGGCGCTTGAAAGTTTGGTCGTGCTTCCACTCCACGAGTGCATTTGGGAACTCGAAAGTCCAAACCTCCAAATCTCCATGATCTCCAATCACTCCATCGGCAAGTGCGGCACCCAGGTCGGACTTTGATCTCCCTGATTGACAGCCCCGCCAAATATTTGAACGATTGCAAAGCTCTCTTCACAATGTCCTTGGTCGACCTACGTTCTTCCTTTAGCTATTCCCTCTTGCGCCAACTTACCTTAACCACTGAAGAGTTCCCAAGGCGATCAAGCCGCAATGCCGGGATTGATATTGTTCATCCTTTCGCCCACTCGTAGTTATATGGGCCGCCCTGACATATACTTGACCTTTAGATGTTCCCATGTTGTTTCTCGCCCCGCCAAACTTCACTCAGCTTTTACCGTGCAAAGTTTCAATGCCGTTGACTTGAGTGTTTCCGCCGTTGAGTAAATTCAGGCGATGATCTTGCCCCTGATAGCTTTATGGCTTGCTATGTGTCGACGGGGTGCACGGCCTAAGGCCTAGGCGACGAGCGGTAGGCCAGTTCGGGGGCTGTCAATGCTGTGCCGACGATGCCGCTGGTCTCACTGATCCGCATCACTCTTTTCACTGCACAGCTTACTCCGCGCGATCCTCGGGGAGGTTTGGAGGTTTGGAGTTTTCAGCTCCCAAACTTTGTGCACTCCACTCTGTCGAATTTTGGGATATGATTAACCCGTGTTTACCTGCAAGCAACAAATTCAAACGACTACATTCCAATCACCTGTCTTTATCCTTCTTCGCGTAATCCTAATAATATAGAGTGTCTACTCTCCGAACCCAACCAGCATAACCTCTGCACACAAAAAGACTGCTTCCTATACCAGCATCACCCGACCCGGAATCGAACCGGGGCCTCCTGCATAAACTCGTGCGTGATACTGCAAGTCGAAGAGGTGCACACCATGTGCTACCAAGTGTCTACAGGCTGGTATTTGAGCTAGGGTATATGAACTGTTTTCTGAGCGAGTCCAAGGCTAATTTGAGGGCGGAAAAGTTAAACACGAGCCGAACTCGAGGGATATTCTTACTCCATTCCTCGAGCCTTAATCCAATCCATTGGTGAGATTGTGACACCGAACGGAAGTGTATAAACGGGAAAGAAAAAAAATCTGCCAGAGATAACTCAACACTCAAACCGGAATCGAACCAGTACCTCCTGCATAAACATGGCTCTCAAGTTCAAGCACTGGCAGGTGCACACCATGTGCTACTGAGTGGTTGCAACCTCAGTTTAGTCCTCCTTCATATGCAGTGTTTGGCGTGAAACCTGGCTGAACAAGCGGAAATCAACCGCCCACGAAAGAAATTAACCCGAGTTCTCAACAAAATCAAGTCAAAACAATAGAATTCCGCTCTTCGAGATGCAACTCAAATTCAACCCTATCCCTCGGTGAGGGACCTACATTAGAAGAAGCGTAGAAGGGGAAAGAAGAAAAAGCTGGTCTTCTATTCCACACATCACCCGACCCGGAGTCGAACCAGGACACTCCCGCATGCACAATTGCACGAGATCAACTCAAGCAGGTGCACACCTTATGCTATCGAGTGGTTGCAAGCTCAGTCCCAGCATCGTTTATATGCACTACTTCTGAGCAAGAGGAAGTAAAGGAAAGAAAACTCAGATAGTGATACTAAAAGGAAGCTTTGTATGAGATAGTCGAATAACTTGACCCAGAATCGAACCGGGATCTCCTGCATGAACCCTAGGCCAGATAAAGCAGGTGATTACCATGTGCTACCGAGTTTCTGAAACTTAAGTGTGAAGCCCAATATACTGACCATTTCTGAGTGAGTTCCAAGCCTAAGAGGAAGAAGACAAGACATTGTAGAAAGGGAAATGAACTCGAACCTTGAAAATAAAATCGGGTGAGCCTCTCTGCTCCTCGCACTCTAATCCAACCCATGTGAGTGCGGCATCATGAAAGGGACCGTGTGGAAAGGGAATGAAAAAATATCGCGTCGAAATTCCCATCACTCGACTCGGAATCGAACCAAGGCCTTCTGCGTAAACTATGCATCACCACAGTAGGTCAAGCAGGTGCACACCATGTGCTATCAAGTGTCTGCAAGCTAACTCCCAGCATCGTGTATATGCAGGGTTTATGGGTTGAACACCGAGCATTGAAATAAGGAGAGAAACAGGAAATCAAGTCGAGTGGTAAAATTGGTTGAACCTCTCTCCTCCTCAAAGTTCAATCCTATCTGTTCCTTGGTGGGAGTGGACACCTGAAAGGAACCATGTGAAAAGGGAACAAAAAATCTTTCACAACACAGGAATCACTCAACCCGGAATCGAACCGGGACTTCCTGCCGCAAATTTTTCAGGTCAAACAGGTGCATACCATGTGCCACTGAGTGGTTGAAAGCTAAGTCCCCGTGTCATTTATAGTCTGCGCTATTCGTGAGGAACCGACGGAGACAAGGAAATCAACTTCAATAATAAAATTGGTTGAACATTTGTTGCCGCTGCTGTTCGAACCTCAATACAATCTGGTCCTTGGTGTTGGTCAGAGTGAAAGCGTGAAAAGGGAGAACATGAACACAAAACTTAAAATGCGCTGAACTATCACCCGACCCGGAATCGAACCAGGGCCTCCTGCATAACCGTCGATGTATAAACCAGGTGAAGCAGGTGCACACCATGTGCGATTAAGTGTCTATGAGTCAGCTCCCAGCGTCTTTTATATGCACTACTTCTGAGCGAGTCCAAGGCTAAAGGGCCAGGTGGAAAAGGAATCGACTCAACTCAAGTAAAGCAGGTCTACACCATGTGCCATCAAGTGGTTGCAACATGAGTTCAAAGCTCGTTTATATGTAGTGTTTATGGGGTAAAACCTGGCTGAACGAAGCAAAAATCAGCCACTCACGAAGATCTAGAAAGTCAACTCGAGTGATCAATAAAATCAAGTCAACTAATAAAATTCTGCTCCTCGAACTTCAACTAACCCATGTGAATGTGGTATCGTAAAAGGGACCGTGTGGCAAAGGAACAAAAAAGACCTTGCAACCAAAGTATCACTCAACCCGGAATCAAACCGGGGCCTCTTGCTTGCTCAACCTCAGCTGTGCTCTTATAACTGAAGCAAGTGCACATCATGTGCTATCAAGTGTCTATGAGCTAGCTCCCAGCGTCATTTATATGCACTACTATCTTTCTAAGTTGAACATTGCCTATTGAACAACCATGGAGGATCATAGAAGTTAAATTTTCCCTTTTGAGACAGTCCGCATTAAGAGAAAAATCACCGGAAGCGGCTCAGCGTTAAAAGAAAACCAGATTTAAGAAAAATGCCTCTGAGATAGAGGCTTTGGCATCACCTGACCCAGACTCGAACCAGGGCCTCCTGCATAACCATAGAGAAGTAAGGCAGGCGGAGACCATGTGCCATCAAGTTGTTGCAACATGAGTTTGAAGCCCGTTTATATGTAGTGTTTATGGGGTAAAACCTGGCTGAACGAAGCCAAACTCAGCCACCCACGAAGATCTAGGAAGTTAACTCGAGTTCTCAATCAAATCAAGTTGAGTAGCTAAAACTCAGTGTGATACTGAAGGGAACCATGTGAAAAGGGAACAGAAAAAAAGAGTTCACAACCCAGGTATCAGTCGACCCGGAATCGAACTAGGGCCTCCTGCCTAAATGGCTAGAGAAGCTTGGAAATAAAGCCGGTGGCCACCGAGATTGCTTATGTAGTGTTTGTGGGCGGAAGGAAATCAACTAAGTATGTCAATTGGTTGAATTGTCTTCCTCGCGGTACGCTCAAATCTCAAAACCCAGCTGAGACATGAGGTGAGAGCGCGACAGTAACACTACTAAAGGGAAGGACTTGAGCGCCACCCACCCGGGAATGGAACCGGGACCTCTTGCCTGTACGACATTTATGTTAGCTCTGGTCCAAAATTAAGCGGTTTGGACCGTGAGAATACCCTCGGGCAACTCGGGCCAACCGGCGATCGACCAGCTTCGAAGTCTCAAATCATACTGGGCGGGAAGTATGTACCAGTCATCCGATGTTTCCATCTCCGTGCAAAAGTGAAAGTCTCGCAAATAATTCCTGACACCACCGTTGACGCGTCGGGTCATAGTGTGACACTTCGCGTCCGTGATCACATGAACCTCATCTCCCGCAACATCCGGCAGCATTGTTTCAATCGGTACCATCGGAGAAATACGGAATGTACTGACATTAGGTCCTTGTGTGCCTTTCCTGTGAATCGACGAGCATCCTAGGCCTGAACTCGAGAAAAACAATTCACAAAGAGATTGAAACCGCAAACTGTCAAATTTGCCTCGAGGCGCGTGTGGTAAATAGGCCTAAAAAAGGCAATATGGTGCTTGATAACATTGTCTTTGCTCGTGGGTCGCCTTTCCTTCCTCTTCCCCACTCCCACCTAGGTCCATTGCCAACTGTCCACTTACCGCAATATCTGACGAGCATTACTGGAGTGACTCTACTGGAGTGACTCTCAATCACCCCCGGCGTACACCGAGTATGCGCATACCACCCCCGGTCACACGGAATGCTTCGGGTTCACCCAGAGCGGCTGCACCAGACCGCCGGCTGCTCGAGGATTTTGTGCGGCTCACCAGGGGCAAGCGATGTGGGTGGACCCAAAGGCGGGGTCCATCACGGCGGAGGAACGCCGGGAACACGCGGAGGGGCGCCGCTGCTGTGGGCTGACGAAGAATTATAAGCTGTGCAATACCAGAAGTGGTGGAAAGTATAAGTATTGCCGCCGCCACCATGATCAGTTCACACCCCCTCACGTCGAGCGTGCACCGGGACACGAGCCGGCTCAGCGCGGCATAGTGCGCGAACGGATGCTCGAGTTTTTGCGACTACAGTCAGAGTCCGCGGCGGGGGAACAGGAAGCACAGAATCGCTGGGCGCAGGGGGAACAAGACAGACTTAGGCAGCAGCGAGAGTGGGCAGAAGAACAGGGAGCACAGAATCGCCGGGCGCAGGAGGAACAACGCAGACTTGAGCACCAGACGGCTTTTACGGAACCCTGCAGGCGGCACCTAGATTTCTCTGACCGTCGTGTCGAGGGGTCGCCAGCAGCACAAGCAGGTACCGGATTCGGATTCTTGATCTTGGCCCTCTTACTGCTCTCGCTCCTGGTGGAGCGCATCCGCGGTTAGAAGGATCAAGTAGTCGTACAAGCAGGTGGAGAGGAGGCGGTGGACGTTCTGAGATTATGTATATTAATCGCGTCTTGTACATTTTGAATCTTGCCGCCGGATACGATGGAGATGTGCTTTTGAGGGTAACTCCAGTGCGCAGTGTCTTGACAACACTTGGATGCAACAACTGCCAAGCTCGTGTATATCACGAGGAACGAACTACAGGAAAGCGAAATCAACTCAAGTAAGAGATATTTGGTGTCAACCGATTGAACCTCTCTTTCATCTCTTCCCAGGGTAGTTCCAACATTGTGTTGGAAAGGTCACCCTTACCTTCAATTTATCAACTTTGTTTCCGACAGGACAGATGAGAGATTGGGGTGGCAAAAAAAATTACTTCGAGATAGTCACAACCTACATTGACCTTTGTGAGTGGAGCGGAAGGGGACGGGCAAAAAAATACAAAGCGAGTGATGCGATTTCCAACCGTGGGAATGATATCGGGCAACCTGGGGATTCCCACGATAAAATCCTCAACACACAACAAGGAATGTTCCAAATGGCGCATTTTACTGCGAGGTAAACAAAATCCAGGAATAAACACTGAAAGGTTGAGGCCACGATAGAGAAAGTCGAAAATCCCCGCCAGTTCCGTTCTCACGGTTGAGTACCTGATAATAAATGGTGGATATTTTCTTTGCATTATTGGACAGCTCCGCGATTCCATCAAAGAAGAAGGCGTGGTGTTTCAAGACACAGAACCTTCCTTCAGCGGACTCCATGGAGAGGTCTTCAGTACCACTCGTGGACTACCCGAATGTTCCCACAGTTCGAAAATTTGTGAAAAAGCAAAACGAATACCACCACTCCATAGTATCACTAGCATACGTCGGTACTTTCAGCCTCGTCTACGAGATCACGGAGCGGTTCAAGCGAGGGATTAATCTGCGAACAAAAGACTGGCAGAAAATACCTGAAATCACAATACAAAGAAGTCGAAGCCCCCGAATCGAAGGTCGCGCGCATGGTACCGGTACCTCGTGCCTCGTGTTCCACAGTACTAAAGGGATAACGGAAGTTCTGTACGTGGGATCGCAAGTGAACAGTCTATTGAATATCAGAGGAAATACTTGTTGGGAACGCGAAATATTAGTACGCCAGCTGGGAGGGCCCTCTGAAATATAGTGGGTAACTCCACTCGAAGGGATTCGATATGAACGGACCTTTTCTCAACGCCCTGTACAATTTTCAGATGAGATAAGTCATTGATGGAGCAGTGCGATGAATGTTTCCTCACGTTTTCAATCCAAGCAATCTGGGCCTTCAATTCTGTGAGTCCGAACGATAACACCAACACATTTTATTTGCAGGAAGCGGAGGGACCGAGTCTTCGCGAACTGCCACTCCGGTAGGGCGGAGGTGGAG